TTTAAAGCAGATTACAAAGCAGTATGTTAAGGAACTATTTCTGTCCAAGGACCCCTGATGACAAAGTGAAGTTCCTGTTTAAAGCCTGCCTGTTCCAGGACTTGCAGATAATAAATTCTTCCCTTACCAAGTTTACTTTGGGTTTCTGTCACTTGTAACCTAAAGAGTCTAAAAATTGAAAACCCAAATGCCCAGCTCTTTCACTTTGCCGTGAGCAGTGGGCATGGGCAATGAGGCAGACACAGTTTGCAAGACGTCTTCTCAGAAGGCAGATCCAGGGAGGGGCATCTAGGACTAGGTCCTATCTGGGCCCAGACATAGCCTGAGGGTCCATAGGGATCAAAGACCCTCTATTCCTGAGGACAAAGGGTATACCAAGCCTGTCCCTGCCTCAGGACTGTGCTCCTGCTCTCCCTCTGCTGAAACACTTCTGTGAGTGACTCTTTCACATCCTTGGTCAAGCTCAAATAGCTTCTCTGACCACCTAGCTGAGGGAAATCCTTGTCCCAGCTTCCACTGACTATGAATAGCTCTCATTTCTATGAGAACAGGGGCCATGTCTGTTTTATTTACTGCTGTTGAAAAGGTCTGGGACATAGTAGGAATGCCATCAATCTTTGTTTCCTGAGAAAATGAGAACAAGCAGAGAAAGGGGTAAGGTTGCCGGTGCATTGGCCTACTCTAGGTGCTGACTGGAGAGTGGGACTAGTCCAAGGTGGGCCATGAAAATCACTAAGTGACATGCTGCATGTTCCAGTTTTGATTGGTTCAAAGCATTGCCTCCATATGAGGATCTTAACTGGATATCAGGGTGTGACGTTAGAAGTGAGAGCCAGGGTACCATCTCCCAAATGGGGTGTTGAAAGTCAGGAATGGTCAGTCAAAGTCTAAAGTAGCCACAGACTAAGAAATTGGAGGGTGAGCAGAGCTAGGTGCAGGTCTTAGGTACTGGGAGACCTGGCCGTGGGGACAAGCAACAGGAGACAAAGTTTTCTGTGTCATTGGGCGAGACCGCAAGTGGTCTGGAACAGTGCAAAGACAGCATTGAATGACCTGAACTACATGGCTCAAAACTTATTTCCATTTGAAAAATTTCTAGTACTTTTGCATAAATCAAAATGAAGTCTCAGTTTGGTGCTAACAGATCCCTAACATTTAATTGTCTCTTCCAGCAAAGGATGAGCAGGACTCAGACTCAGGGCCTGATGCAGGCAAAGGTCTAGTTGGGCTGTAACACTGGCAATACGTTCCACTGTGTTTATATTTTGCATCCACCTTCTAATTACAGAAAATGATATTGGGAGAACCAACAAGATGGTGGATTGGGTGGACATAAGAGCTCCTTCAGCAACAACATAGAATACTGGACTAAGCAGGCTCAGGGGATGGTGCCAGAACTCTGAACCACATATAAAGAAATATTTAGAAGGTTGGAAGGCTTATAGCTAGGGGACTTTGCAGCAGAAGCAAGAAATCCATTGCTTTCTAATTCAAGACACTCAACTGCTGCCGGAGTCATCATCTTGGGTGAGACCAAGTAGGGGAAGGATCAGAGCAGCCATGGACACCTGACAGAACTGCCGAGATAAAGGTGTGGACATTCTTTTTTTTTTTGGTATCTGTTCATTGGTCTCTCGCTGTCTACATACCTCCATTCTGGTGACTAGAGGGGGTGCTTGAGTGATTGGACACCTCACCCCCACCCCCGGAAGGTTCTACTACACATGTGCACAGATCTTGAAATTTAAAGTGACAATTTCCACTTAAAACCAAATGGCCACAGTTGGCCCTGAACTGTTTATCCCTAGAAACAAAGGCCTGAACGGGGATTGTGGAGTGGGACAGACACACTAAAAAGCAGCAGTGTCAGAGACGGAGGCAGAGGTGGGGTTATGGAGAAGGGGAGTGGCTGAGGACTCTAGATTTATGGGAAGAGAGGAACTAAGAGATGGAGGTGAGGAGGCCAACTTGCAGAATGTGCCCTTTGGAGATGTAAATTATTATATATGCCTGAGTGGTGTTTTTGTTTTAAAAAGTTAAAGTGGATATAGAGAAATACTGGTAACTGATGGTACATGGAGGGGATTATAATCATTGTAATGAAACAAGGTGTGTGATTGTTGATGATCTGCCCTGTAAACTTTCACTCAATCCACAATAAAAACCTTAAAAAAAGAAAGTGATTTTGATTTTCCATTTGATGTTGTTGGTTTGCTGTCGAGTTGGGTTTCTGAGGCTGTAAATTTTTACAGGAGCAGAAAGCTTCATCTTTCTCCTGCAGAGCAGCTGTTGACCTTTCAGTTAGTAGCCCATCATATAACCATTGTGCTAACAGGGCTACTTTAGATTTTCCATTTAGGAGAGCAATCAAAAGTTTCTTTTTCAAAGAAATTTTTTCATAAATAAAAGGAGACTCCTTGAAACAAGATGGAGAGTGCATGACAGAGCAGGTGGTGGCATTGTTAGGCCATAAATGATGGGGCTGAGTGAGTGGGAAGGTTGTAAGGGAGGCAGCTTTTGTGCTCTTGCTGTAGGAGGGGTTCTGCACATCCTGGTTCTTGAGATCTGGAGAGGTCTGCTTGGGAATGTGTTGAGTCTGCTCACCGCCACCAGCAGGTGGAACTGGAACTAGATTTGCTACTCCAGGTCAGAGTCACAGTTTAGGAAGGTCAGTTTCTGAACAGAGATAAAGGCATGCTAGGCTTTGGGGTCTGGGACCCACTCTGAACTGAGCCTCTCAACCTAGAGTTGGAAAGTCCTGTCCAGCTGACTGGACCTTCCCTTCCCTGGTCTTGATGCCGATCCAGTATTCCCAGGTCTGGCTTGGCAGCCCCTATGGGCCTCCTGAAATTAGAAACCAGGATCATTCTGCCTGTCCTGCCTACCAGAGCATACCACTTTGAGTGGGCACTCCAGGTCAGAACTTAGGGCTATCCAGGTCTCACCATGAGGCCCTGAGGGAGTCACCTCCACATCTAAACTGAGATGGGTGAGGTGACCTTTAAGGGTCCTGTGGATGAAAGACCAGGGGCTCAGTGAAGAGTGCAGTTTTGAAGTCAAACAGGTATTGGCTTGATTTCCTGTTCTACCACTTGTTAACTGTGACCTTGGCTAAGTCACTTAAACTGTCAGGGTCTCTGTGCTCTTGTCTTTAAAATAATAGCATCTCTTCAGCAGAGCAAAGCCCCAGACTCACAGAAGGACTTTGAAAGTCCTTGGTACCTTCATGAAGTGTCTTTCTCCTTGAATAAACTGAGAGATTTGAGTTTCTGCATGCAAAGATGTCTGTCCTATTTCTATACTCCAAGACAGAGCCTGACTGAGCCACTACATTTGTTATCACTGTTGAACACATCTGGTACTGTTTAGTGAACTGTGTGGTGAACCCCTTGTTGGGTCGGATCCTTGCACAGTCAAACTGGTGTCTCACATTAAGCTTCCCAAGGTACAACCCTTTTAGTTTTACACTGATAAGCTCAACCAAATGGTTTGGGTCTGCAGGGGCTTCCAACCTCAGACATGTGACATGTATTAGGCCCCAAGCCAGCCTACTGGTCCGGACTCCCCTTCACACTAGGGCCCTTGGTGTCCTTTTCTGACTGTAGATCTGTCAAGAGTCAAGGGCTTCCTAACCCATCGGAGAGCTCCTAAGAATATTAACCCTCAAAAGGGAAAATGTTAAGCTACTTTGAGTATCTTGTTCCACCTCTCTCCAGAGCTATGTCTCCATAATCTAGATGGGAGGCTATCTAAGGGACTAGTTGAAAAAACAATTGCTGTCAAGACAATTTTGACTCATGGTGACCCCAGGTATGTCAGAGTAGAACTGTGCCCCATAGGGTTTTCAATGACTGATTTTTCAAGCAATTGTGAATCTTTCTTCTGAACCCTCTCTGAGTGGACTCAAACTGCTAACTTTTCAGTTAAGAGCCAAGCCAAGCATGTTAACCATTTGCATTACCCAGTGACTAGATCTAAGAAATAGTTCTCTTATAAATGAAAATCCACTCCTAGGAAACAAGTACCATGTCTGTGCAAATAATGCACGGCTTCTATATTTGTTTGTCAATTGTGCACATCCCAGCCTCCCCCAGAGAGGTATTTTTGCAAGCACTGTTACATCAAAAATTTTTTAACATGTTTCTGTAAAAAAATACCTTCTAGAGGAAGGGTGTAGTTTGCAAACAAACAAATGGAGAAGCCACGCACAATTTGTGTAAAAATATAGTATTATCCTTAACCAAAGGATCCCTGGTGATTCAGTGGATTATCCATTGGACTGCTAGTCACAGGACAGCAGTTGGAATCCACCAGGTGCTCTGTGGGAGCAAGAGGAGGCTTTCTGTTGCATTAAAGATTTACACCCTCTGAAAACCTATACAAGTTGGCTGTGAGTCAGAACCAACTCAGGGGCACACAGCCAGCCAGTCACAGATATTCTTGACAACTTTGCCTTACTAAAAATACTTTGTATCACAGAATCTCATGACAGTATTGCTTTCCAGCCCAACGTCCTCCCACCCTTCAAAGGATGACTTAAAATCCCCTAGGGTGGGTATACTCCAGGGAGAGCAAACAATAGGTGACCTTTTGTTTTGCTGAGTTGAGTGCATATGCTAAGAAGGAAGAGTCAGAATATTTGGAATTGGGGTGGGAATATTTGTAATCCTTGTTGAGTAGACAGAAAAGACTCAGAACAGCTGTAGAGAGCTGTCTAAGAGGAAATGGGTGATGTTTCACCTATGATGTACAAAAGCTTTGAGAGCTGGGTTTGTGGTTTTGCTATGAAGTCTGGTCTCAAGGGAACACAGGACTGAGATTTCCAAAGAAGTTCAATCACACCTTTGTCAGTACAGATGAGGAAATGAGTGACCACAGAGGAGAAGGGACTTGCCCAAAATCATCCTGTAAGTTAGAACCCAAAATGAAGCCCAAATAGCCCACCAAACAATGGTGACCCTCCAAGTCTCCAGCTTCAGGTCAGCAGCTACCAGGCTGCCTCAATACAAATACTCCCGGACTGTGAGTTCTTTCAGGGTGAGTCCCCGGGGGGTGGGCTTGCGGAGCTGGCTCTCCTCCAGTCTCTCTTGCAGGGACACAAAGTCCTTGCCTAACGTGTAGGCCAGGCGGGCCATGGCGTCCAGCAGCGGGGCGTAGTAGCGGTGGCTCTCCCGGGCCTGAAGCCTCTGCAGCGCCCTCTCACCAGCAGCGAAGGCCTCCAGGGGGCACTCGAGGTTGCGGTGGCACACCAGCATGGCGCAGAGGGCCGGGACCAAGGCGGCGGGGCAGTGGCCGGTTAGCTTTTCCTGCAGCGGCACCACGCGCACCAGTATGTCTAAGGCCTTGGTGTACTGTCCGGCGCGCAGGCAGCCGAAGGCCTCTCTCAGCTCGGCCCGCGTAAGGAAGTCGATGAACTCGCGGGAGCGGCGCACACAGCGGATGGTGTAGAGCAGGCTCAGGTACTCCTTGAAGGCCAGCTTGCGCTCACAGATGATCTCCTCCGTGAAATTCCCCATCAAGTGCTTCTTGGGGAAGGCAACATCTTCGATCTCTTCTCTGAAATTTTTTAGTAAGTTTTTCTGGAGCTTCTCGAAGTCTGAGAAGCGCCGTTCCACGATGGCTTTGTTGCTATCAAAACTCCCTGTCTGGATGACAACGATTTGGTACATCTACAAGCAAAGAGAGAGTCTTTGATGACAGTCTGGCAAAGGGTATGAAGTGACAAGAGAGAGCCCAGGCAGATAAAAATAATGTTGTTGTTGTGATGTACCATGCACGGAGTCGGTTCCGACTCATAGCGAACTTGTAGTGAACTTGTACAGGGTTTCTGAGGCTGTAAATCTTTACACTGGTAGTTTCGAACTGCTGACCGTGAGGTTCGCAACCCGATTAGTAACCACTACGCTACCAGGGCTCCTAAAAATGATAGCGATGATTTAAAACATATCCTGAAAATGGGTTATTATTATTATTTGCAACCCTGTTTTAAATAGCCGTTGAAATTGGCCAAGCTACAAACACTATTCATGACAAAGGTCAACCCAAGAAGAACAGACACAGCAATATGGAGGCATCCCTGGGGATAAAGAACACGAGAACACGAGGTACATGAAGCCTGGGGATCTATCTTGACTTTGCGTTGTCAACATTGGGCCTCAGTGTTCTAAAATGGGAAGGTTGGATTTCATTTGTGTTCTCTAAATTAACACTTCCAGAGGGGTTTAGATGGTATAATGGTAATGCTGTGATATATTAATTTTTTTTTCTTTCATTTTTTAGTTCTGTTTCCATGGGCATCATGCATAGTAATTAAAGACACAGATTGTGTACTCAGACTGCCAGTGTTACAAACCCAGCCCCATCACTCCCTAACACAAGTGAAGGAGCCCTGGGAGTTTAGTAGATGACTAGCGGAGCTGCTGACCACAGGACAGCAGTTCGACTCTACCAGTCACTCTGCTGGAGAATGAGGAGGTTTTCTGCTCCTGTAAAGATTTACAGACACAGAAACCCTATACAGGGTCACTATAAGTCAGAACAGACTCGACAGCACACAACCACCACCATAGACTTTGTTGTTAAGTGCCGTTGAGTTGGTTGCAACTCATAGTGACCCTGTATAGGGTTTCTGAGTAGTGGCTGGTGAGCTTGAACCACCGACTTTGTGGTTAAAACCATCCTTGTAGTGCAGCACATTAACCCACAGAGTCCTGGTGTGGCGCTGTAGAATAAGCACTTGACTGTAAGATCTGTTTGAACAACAAGGCTGACAGTTCAAACTCATCAACCACTCCTCAGAAACCCTATACAGGGTCACTATGGGTTGGAACTGACACGATGGCACTTAACCACAACAACAACCTCTTTGAACCTGTACAATGAGAATAGTAATAGTATCCTCATTGGATGAGAATTATATGAGTCCATACACAAAAACCTCTGTGCCCAGCACATAGTGAGCACTCAGTGTTTGCTATTATTATTACTATGGACTCAATTAAGGGAAAAGAAAGGTTGATTGTGATCCACATATATTCTTGTGTTGTTAAGTAATGTTGACTGGTTCTGAATTATTGCAGCCCCATGTACAAAAGAAGGAAATTTTGTCGGGCCCTATGCCATCTTCATAGTTATTGGTATGTCTGAATCCATGTGGCCACTGTGTACTTTGTGTGCCTTCCAACTTAAGAGATTCACCTTACAGACCTATTGTTGTTGTTATTAAGTGCCTTCAAATCACTTTCAACTTGTAGCAACCCTGTATAGGGTTTCCAGCACTATGTTGTTGTTATTAGGTGCCTTTGAGTCGGTGCAGATTCATAGAGACCCTAGGCACAACAGAATGAAACACCACCTCACAATCATTGCTACACTGGAACCCATTGCTGGTGTCGCTGTGCCAATCCATCTAGTTGGGGGTCTTCCTCTTTTTCTCTGACCCTCCACTTTACCAAACATGATATCCTTCTCCAGTGACTCCTAACACTATGCCTGAAGTATGACAGACAAAGTCTGGCCATCCTGGTTTCCAAGGAGCATTATGGTCATACTTCTTTCAATACAGATTGGTTTGTTCTTTTGGCAGTCCATGGTACTTTCTATAAAGTACCTCCTCCAAAACCAGGACTCAAATGCAGCAAAATTCCTATGGTCTTTATTATTCACTGTCCAACTTTCACATGCATATGAAGTTACTGATAATACCATGGCATGGGTCAGGCTCACCTTAGTCTTCAAGCTGACATCTTTGCTCTTCAACATTTTAAGAGGTCTTGTAAAGCAGATTTGCCTAATGCAATATGTCGTTTAATTTCTTGACTGCTGCTTCCATGAGTGTTGATGGCTGATCTGAACAAAATGAAATTTTTGGTAACTTCAATCTTTTCTCCATTTATATGGATGTTGTTTATTGGTCCAGTGATGAGGATTTTTGTCTTTTTTTATTGAGGTACAACCCATATGGAAGTCTGTGGTCTTTGATCTTCAACAGTAAGTGTTTTAAGCCCTCTTTGCTTTCAGCAAGCAAGGTTATATCATCTGCATATTGCAGGTCATTAATGAGTCCTCCTCCAATTTTGAGGCCTTGTTTTTCTTCATATAATATAGCTTCTTAGATTATTTGCTCAGCATACAGATTGGATAAGTATTGTGAAAGAATACAACCCTGGTGACACATTTCCTAATTTTAAGCAATTCAGTTTTTCCTTGTTCTGTCTGAACTGCCTCCTGGTCTATATACAGGTTCCTCGTGAGCACAATTAAGTGTTCTGGAATGTTCATTCTCCACAATGTTGTCCATAGCTTGTCATGATCCACACAACAGAAAGTTTTTGCATAGTTAGTAAAGCACAGGAAAACATCTTTCTAGTATTCTCTGCTTTCAGCCAAGATGCATGTGAAGTCAGCAATGATATCCCTCAATCTACGTCCTCATCTGAATCTGGCTTGAACCCTTAACAGTTCTCTGTCAATGTACATTTGCAGGCATTTTTGGACTACCTTTAGCAAAACTTTACTTGTTTGAGATATTAATGATCTTGTCCCTTGATTTCTGCATTTCATTGCATCACCTCTCTTTGAAATGGGCAAACATATGGACCTCTTCCAGTTAGATAGTCAGGAAGCTGTCTTCCAAATTTCTTGGAACAGATGAATGAGTGCCTCCAGTGCTTCGTCACTTTGTTGAAAGATTTCAATTTGTATTCCATCAATTCCTGGATCCTTGTTCTTTGTCAATGCCTTCAGGGTACCTTGGTCTTCTTCCTTCAGTATCATTGGCTCTTGAACATATGCTACTCCTTGAAATGGTTGAAAATTGACCATTTCTTTTTGGTACAGTGACTTTGTATATCCATTCCATCTCCTTTTGATGTTTTCTGCATCATTTAATATTTTGTCCATAAGATCCTTCAATATTTCAAGTCGAGGCTTGAATTTTTTATTCAGTTCTTTTAACTTGAGAAGTGCTAGATGTGGTCTTCCTTTTGTTTTTCCAACTCCAGGTCTTTGTACATTTTTCATAATATTTGACTTTGTCTTCTTGAGCTGCTCTTTGAAATTTTCTATTTAGCTCTTTTACCTCCTTGTTTCTTCCATTTGCTTTAGCATCTCTATACTGGAAAGCAAGTTTCAGTCTCTTCTGACATCCATTTTGGTCTTTTCCTTCTTTCTTGACTTCTTAATGATGTTCTTGATGTCATCCCACAACTCTTCTGATCTTTGGTCTTTAGTATCTAATGCAACAAATCTGTTCTTCAGATGATCTCTAAATTCAGGTGGGATATATTCAAGGTCATATTTTGGCTTTCTTGGACTTCTTTTAATTTTCCTCAGATCAACCTGAATTTGCATATGACCAATTGCTGGTCTGTTCCACAGTCTACCCCTGGCCTCGTTTTGGCTAAATATTGGGCTTTTCTACTATCTCTTTCCACAGATGTTTTCAATTTGATTTCTGTGTATTCCGTTTGGTGAGGTTCATGTATGTTGTTGTTGTCAGGTGCCATCGAGTCGGAACCGACTCATAGCGACCCCATGCACAGCAGAACGAAACAATGTCCGATCCTGTGCTAACCTCACTACCGCTGCCACACTTGAGTCCATCAATGATGCCACCTGGCCAATCCATCTCGTTAGGGGTCTTCCTCTTTTTCTCTGACCCTCCACCTTACCCAGCATGACATCCTTCTCCAGCGACTGTTTCCTCCGGACAACATGTCCAAAGTATGAGAGACAAAGCTTAGCCATCCTGGCCTCCAAGGAGCACTCTGGTTGCACTTCTTCCAAAACAGATCTATTGGTTCTTTTGGTAGTCCATGGCACTTTCAGTATTCTCCTCCAACACCACAACTCAAAGGCTTCAATTCTTCATGTATATAGTCATCTTTTATGCTGTTTACAAAAGGTATTTACAATGAAGAAGTCATTGGTCTTGCAAAATTCTATCATGCAATCTTCAGGATCATTTCTATCACCATAGCCGTTATTTTCCAATAACTGATACTTTCTCTTTGTTTCCAAAGTTTGCATCCCAATCACCAGTAATTTTCAATACATCTTGATTTCATGTTTGATCAATTTCAGACTGAAGAAGCTGGCAGAATTCTTCAATTTCATCATCATTGGCTTTAGTGGCTTGTGGGTAAATTTGAATAATAGTCGTATTTACTGGTCTTCCCTATTGTTGTTGTTGTTAACATCTATCGAGTTGGTTCCAATGCATAGCAACCCTGTATATGGTTACCAAGGAGCGGCAGGTGTAAGCTTGAATCAGATCAAACTGATTTTGATCTTACAGATCAAACTGACTTTGCAGTCAAGAGCATTAACCCACAGTGCCACACCAGTATGGATATTATGCTATCACAGATAGTGTTGTACTTCAAGACAAATATATTTATATATATATTAAAGTTTTTATTGTGAATTGAGTCATCATTTACATGGGAGAACATCGGTTTTACACATATCCTATCGTATGTCATTGCATTGCAATGATTACAATCCCCCTGTGCAGCATCATTTAACAGTAGTTGCTTCTAGTCCCTCTGTTTGTTTTTTGTATGGACACCAAAACACTCAGGAATATATAATCATTTAAACAACTAAAGGGAACATTCTGTAAGCCTGCATCCTGGCCACCAGCATACAACCTTTCTCTTTCCATGAGTATAGAGTCCTCAACTGCTCTATCTCTCCGTGTCATCATCTCTGCCTCTATCTCTGGTGTCACTGCTTCTCTGCATAGGGTACCACATTCCACTCATAGGGTCACACATTCCACTCATGCTCTAGGTCCTAGGGTCCTCTGTTCCTGAAACATAAAATTGACTACTTCCCCCTTTATGTTATAAAACTTCTACCTTTACCGTTGTGCCAATCACAATGAGTTGTGATAATAATTACTCACTATTGTATCATAAGAATCTTATCCCCACCTCCTTTCACCAGACCTGTCTTGACAAAATGAAAACTATTCAGTAGGGATGCTACCTTCCCCCACACACTCTGAAACTAAACTCCCTCTTTAAAATTTGTAAGCCAGTCACTTTGCACCTTTATAGCCCTGACCATTTTAGATAGTCAATGTCAAAACAGATATTTTATGTTCTTTCTGATGATGAATGCAACACCATTCCTCTTCGACTTGTCATTGTTGACATAGTAAACTATGTATTGTCAGATTCAAAATGGCCAACACCAGTCCATTTCAGTTCATTAATGCCTAGGATATTGGTGTTTATGTGTTCCATTTCATTTTTGACAATTTCCAATTTTCCTAGATTCATACTTCATACTTTCCATGTTCCAATTATTAGTGGATATTTACAGCAGTTTCTCTTCATTTTGAGTTGTGCATCATCAGCACATGTAGGTCCTGAAAGCTTTGCTCCATTCACATCATCATGGTCAACTCTACTTTGAGGAGGAGGCAGTTCTTCCCCTGTTGCCTTCAGACCTGAGGAGCTCATCTTCCGGCACTATATGTGACAATATTCTGGTGTTCTTCATCATGTTTCAATATTCTATAATCTAGTGCTGACAGTTTTCCACTGCTATTCATAAGGTTCCACCACTCATCTGTCAGTTTGTTGTACTGTGGTGGCTTGTGAGTTGCTGTGATTCTGGAAGCTATGCCATGGGTATTTTTAAATCAAGAAAGATGTGCAACAAGGTTGTATTCTTTCACCATACTTATTCAACCTGTATGCTGAGCAAATAATCTGAGAAGCTGGGTTATATGAAGAAATACATGGCATCAGGATTGGACGAAGACTCATTAACAACCTGCGATATGCATACCTTGCTTGCTGAAAGTAGAGAAGACTTAAAATATTTACTGATGAAGATCAAAGAGCACAGTCTTCAGTATGGATTGCATCTCAATGTAAAGGAAACAAAAGTCCTCACCACTGGACCAGTATACAACATACTTATCAACAGAGCAAAGATTGAAGTTGTCAAGGATTTCAATCTTCTTGGATCAACTATCAACATACATGGAAACAGCAGTCAAGAAATCAAACAACGTATTGCATTAGGCAAATCTGTTGCACAAGACCTTTTTAAAGTGTTGAAGAACAAAGATGTCAGCTTGAGGACAAAGGTGCACCTGACCTAAGCCATGGTATTTTCAGTAACTTCATCTGCATGTGAAAGCTGGACAGTGAATAAGGAAGACCGTAGAAAAATTGATGCTTTTGAGTTATGGTGTTGGAGAAGAATATTCAAAGTGTCATGGGCTGCTGAAAGAACCAATAGATCTGTGTTGGAAGATGTGTAGCCAGAGTGCTCCTTGGAGGCCAGGATGGCCAAACTTCGTCTCTCATACTTGAGACATATTGTCAGGAGGAACCAGTCACTGGAGGAGGATAACATGTTTGGAAAAGTAGAGAGTCAGAGAGAAAGAGGAAGACCCCCAGTGAGATGGATTGGCTAAGTGGCAGCATCAATGTGCTCAAGCGTGGCAACAATTGTGAGGTTGTCCCAGGACTGGGCAATGTTTCATTTTGTTGCACATAGGGTTGCTATGAGTCAGTACCAACTCAATGGCACCCAACAACAACAACATTCATAAGGTTGTCAGTGACTAAATACTCAAAAGTAATCCATCTCTCCTTTTTCCTAGTCTATCTTTGTTTGAAAGCTCAATCTGAAACCTGTCCACCATGGTTGACCCTAATAGTATTTAAAATACTGGTGGCATAGCTTCCGGATTCACAACATGCAAACTACCACAGTATGACAAATTGATAGACAAGTTGTGGTCCAGCACTACACCACACAATAATTTGCTGTGGTCCATAGGGCTAATTTTGGCTAATTTTCAATAGATCATTATGTCTTTCTTTCTAGTCTGTCTTAGTGTACAAGCTCCACTGAAACCTGTCTTGGTTTCATTATAGCAACATGGAAGCCACCACAGTACAACAAATGGATAGATGAGCAATAGATATTGTCCTTAACATTCCCTAACATGAGTTAAGAAGCCCTGGTGGACTAGTGGATTAAATGTTGAGTTGCTTACAGAAAGGTTGGTGGTTTGGGCCCACCAGCTGCTCTGCAAGAGAAAGGTGATGCTACAGGGAGGTGTCAAAATCCATGAAGAAGGGACATAGATTACTGATAATATGGAATTAAATTATGTATTGTTTTTTAGATGTAGATTTTATTTTCACAACGGGACCATTTCCTTCTCAGCATCAGGAACTATGACTAAATGCCTACAATTCTCATAGTACCTAACTTAGTGCTGAGCACATAATAAGTGCTCATAGAATCTGGCTTTTTGACCATTTTCTGAGGAAGAACTCTGTGAGTTATTAGAGTATGTCAGCCCATTTCATGTCTGTGAATACTGAGAGGCCACAGGACTTGCCCAAGGCCAGAAAGGAGGTAGTGTAAGGGAGTGAAAGATCAACTTTGGATCTTGGCTTACCACGAACTTAGAGGCCTTTCTCTCCTCGATGTGGGCTGAGGCAATCTCAAAGAGCAATTTTACAGGCTTCCAATGACATTTCTCATTCTGCCAATATTCCTGAAGCTCTTTTGTGGTCATGCTAGAGTTGGAGTTCAGGCTGTTGGAGGCATCTGAAAGGACAGCATGCTTTGAGATTTGTGCCAGACAGTGCACTTTGGAGGCAAAGGCTTGGGGAGATGGCTGGGTTTGTCTGTAGTGGAACCTTAGAGTTTGTGAAGAGGGGTAGTAAATATCCCTCCCCGCAACTTTTCTATTTATAGGTCAACCAGAGCCATCAACTAGACCTCTATACTCAACCTAGCTGGTCCACCCACTACATATATACCCAAATGGCCAGTATCAGATCACCCAGGAAACAAAGTAAGCATAGGTTTATGTGTCTTTACTTACTAATTTGTAGTGAACAATTAAACATTTTTTTTTCACCACATCAAAAATTATGTTTGTAGATATGATAGGTGTCAGTCTCTCTTCCAACCCCACAGCACCTTCCTATAGAATCAAAGCCTCTTTTCAAATTTGCAATACCTGACAGGGAAGGAGTATTCAGTAAGCTAGGTAAGTGTGAATTTACTTGTGCTTACATACTAACCTATAGGGAGCAATTTTGCATGTGTTTCAGTATAAACACAAGTAAGTTCCTGTTTACCTTGTTTACTGTATACTCTTTGCCTTTCAGAGATTATACATTTGAAAAGAGGTTTTTTATTTTATAGGAAGGTGCTGTGGGTAGGGAGACAGATGCCGGCCATACATAGAAGCAGAATCTTTGGCATAACTGTTCACTACAGATTAGTAAGTAAGCACAAGTAAACCCAAGCTTACCTTGCTTACTAGATAATCTGCCCCTACAAATGGCCACCATCCCAATGTGGTTGCCTGGTTTTAAGAAGCTGCACTGTGGTTGTGCTACTTCTGGCCTGTAGATTGACATTGGGAAACCCGTGCTCCTTGGAAGTGAAACTACAGCTCACTCATCTCTGCTTTTCCTACAACACTGGCTCCACGGTTGTCACCAGGACCCCCTGAGCACACACCAGTGGATGGTGGAAGTATGATTTGTCTGTCTGGGCCCTATCTAACCCATGCTTCTTATCCCTGTCTTATGCACATACACCACTCCTGCTTTGAATGTAGCCCACCTCTTTCCCTGTTTGGACTACTCTAACACAGGGTTGCCTTCTGTGAGCCCTGAGCCCCACTGAGAATCTTGGGGAAATTTAGAATCCTTCACCAGCAAAATGCACACATAGTTTTGCATTTTATTTCAAAGGGTTATGGGTCCCAGAAATCTTTCTCCAGTGGATCTATCAAGGTCTAGCCCACATGTGACTTCTACTGTCATGTCTAGAGTTGTTGTTGTTGTTATTATTAAGTGCCATCAAGTCAATTCTGACCCATAGCGACCCTGTATAGGATTTCCAAAGAGTAGCTGGTGAGCTTGAATCACCGACCTTGCCGTTCAAATTACTTTGTAGTCTGACGCATCAGCCCATAGCTGTTCCTTTGGCTTTCTTCGTGACATTTCAAATTGCTTTTAAATGATCTGTTCCCTCGCTAAACTTGAGAATCAGCCTAATGTTTGATTTGTTCCTGCTTCCCCAGTACCCTGCATAGAACCTGGAACAGAGCAGGTTTTCAATGGACACATCTTGAATGAATGAGTGGAGATTTATTCCAAGAGATGGCACCCTAGCATATGCTATCAGTGCCTGGCCATGCTGATGCAGCACTCAGTATTCTAGTCCATGCCATTGGATTCCTCCTAGAAGCACCTGCCACTCTTGGCCTGAGGGTTTTCTTACTCAGAAGCATCCCTCAGCCAATGAAGGGTGGGATTTGGTCGGTCAATAGCCTGACTTCCTCACCACTCAGATGGAACAATTCTGAGATATATTCTATACAGTCTCCCAAAGGATCCCCTTTAAGATTGAGCCCCAGTTGCCCACAGGCGTCGTCTGTTCAACACTCTATACTGACTTCTTGCCCTTCCCTTTTTCACTTACCCATTCCCCTGCCATGACTCATAAAATCATCACCCCAGTCCTGTCTCATTGTCTACTCTGATTTACCCAAGTTAAGAAAGCTGTACAGCTAGAAGATGCCACTGCATACATTGAAGTGACCAACATGATTACTTCAAATGTCTTCAAACCTCTACACCTTGACCAAGCTCTAAGCTTCAAGCCTACCTAAGTGTTCTTCAGGTCCTGAGGATGGGAGGTCTGGACCAGTGGCTGATGTCTCCTGCTTGGTCCTTGCCGAATTCTGGGCTACAGTCGGCCCTGTCCAGTCAGGACTTCCAGGGTGCTTTGGACTTGTCATGCTCCAAGGCTGCCAAGGACACAAGAGAAATCAGTGAGTGTTCACCTATGCTGGGGCTCCTGGGAAGCATATGATCTGTGCAATAATCCCTACTGGCAGGCAAAAGACTATGACCATGGTCCTGCTGCTGAGCCCTCCACAACCCACCCAGCTGCCATATTCTAAACCTGGGACTATTCCTTTGTATCTAGCGTGGTGTGGAGTACTGGACAGATCTCTCCTGGGGTGAACAGATCCTCCTGGTGTGGCACTGTGGGTTAATGCACTGGACTGCAAGGTTGGTGGTTTAAGCTCACCAGTCACTCCTAGGGTTGCTATGGGTTGGAACCGATTCTACAGCACTTAACAACAACAAAACAAAGATAATGGCTTCAATGATACTTAGGAGAAAGATGCTGGCTTTTCCAGATGAATATTCCAGTACTCCATTAATATTACCTGTGTAATGAAATCCTGGTATTCAGAGATAGTGGACACTACTTTGGATTTTCCTGGTCTGTCTCTTTCTTGCTATCTAAGCAAACAACTTACTATATACACTTCATAGCCACCTAGATTCTTCACACCTACTATTTTATTTGTTGCTGTTGTTTTGTGCCGTGGAGTCGGTTCCGACTCATAGCGACCTTGTACAGAGTTTCTGAGGCTGTAAATCTTTATGGGAGCAGAAAGCCTCATCTTTCTCCCATGGAACAGCTGGTAGTTTCGAACTGCTGACCTTAAGCCTTAAGCCCTATTCGTAACCACTACGCTACCAGAGCTCCTTTAGCCTAGTGTTTACTTCGTTGACTGTTTCACTTAACACCCACAAAAAATCTATAACTCCCAATTAACAGATGAGGAAACTGAGGATTCACCCATAGTCATGCAGCTGGTGAGTGTGCCCAGTGAATGAAACTTAATTTGTCTCATTTGCTTGTTACCTGCCTGGCTGAGTATTCTGTCTTGGCATGGTCTCTCTTTCTTACTTGAACCTCCCTGAGTGATGGAAACTGTTGTTGTGCCTGTTTTGCAATTAAAAAAAAAAAAAAAAAAAAAAAAAAACTTGCAACTTAGAGTTGCCCAAGATCAAGAGCTAGTAAGTGGTGGATAGACCACAAACTCAGGCTGAGCTGATTACAAAATCCTCTCCACCCTCCTCAGGGCAGAGGGCAGGCAGAGTCCTGGGGGTCAGTTTATGTATTAACTCTGTTTGTAACCCAGGTAAGTGAAGCACTTGACAAGGCACCTGGCAAGCTACATAACTTCTCTATGCCAAAGTTTCCTATACAATGGGCATCATAATAGAACCTACCTTCATGAGGCTGGTATGAGGATTAAATCAGACAGACAATGTAAAATCTTAGTTTAGGGTCTGGCACAGACCTTGATAATATATTATTCTTATAATATTCTAATAGGAAATACTGCTTAATATTCCCTAGAGTCCTGATGTGGCGCTGTGGACTAATGCGCTGGATCACAAGGTCAGTTTGAACCACAAGGTTGGTGGTTCAAACTCACCAACTGCTTCTTAGAAACCCTATAAAGGGTCACTATGAGTCAGAACTGACTCGATGGCACTTAATAACATAATATTCCCTAGTATTATGATCAAGCCCATATGTACTATATGTGTTGAGAAATACTTGCAAAATAAATAAAGTGTAAATTAGAATAGAATCAAACATGACTGAGATAAGCTAGAGAATGGGACAATTAAAAAATTAGGTGAGTAACTAGGGTAACACTTAAGCACAGGAATTTGAAATGAGAATGCAAGTTAGTTCAACAACTTCCCAAGAAGATCTAAGGAGTTCCAAGCTCTGGTGCTAAATCAACCTCTATGCTGACTTTTTTTTTCTAAAAAAGCAAGGCCACTACTAGTCACACAGTTCCAACTAGTCCTGGGTGTGGCTACAGCCATCCCTTGATCCAGGGGTGGGGGTCTCCTGGAATCACTTGACCTGGAGAGAAGTGAGATTAGTTGGGGCCAGGAGCTCTTGCTTGTCTACAATGACAGGAACCCTGGGGCATTCTCCGGATGGCTCTGTTTACTGAAAGTCCTTACCTTTGAGACCTGGGGAAATCAGAGTAGCAAGCAGGTATGTAGCTTGTGTTTGAGAGTATGATTGTTTCCCTGGTTAGAGGGCACATGCTTCAGAAAGGAGTCAGGATACCTAGACTTCCATTCTGACAACTGTGGATCTTCGGCCATTGTTATTATGTGCCTTTGTGTTGGTTCCAACTCAAAGCGACTCTGTATAGTATTTCTGAGAGCAGTCTGAACTGCCGACCTTGCAGTTAGCAGTCCGGTACTTATCCTACAGTGCCACACCATAGCTCTGTAGGCATGCTATTTAATATCTCTAGACCTTGGGTTTCCTACCTGTAAAGTGTGGTCATAAGTCTTGTCCTGCTGATAAGATGATGGGCAGCTAGAGAAAGGGTCCCTGTGTTCTGTTAAGTGCCAAGGCAGAATGGTGTGGGGGCCATGTGCTCTCTAGTCTAATGGATGCTTAGCAACCAGATTTTGTGATGGCCCAATGTGTCGTGGGGGTGCTCCTATGCACTTGCCTCACCTCAGTCAGCTCATCTGTAAAACAGGCGATGGGGAGTGCTATTACACTCAATATTCCCAGCCCTTCCAATGATGTTTGCATGATTAGGCAGTTGGCACCAGGTCAGAGCATAGAACTATGTGCCCTAAGGGCCCTGGAAGACCCAAGAAATGGTAGCCTTGGCTGGACACTTCAGCAGAGAGCTGAGCATGAACTCAAAGTTTAAAAATCAAATTCAGCAGCCAAAACCAGCTTCATTATGCAGGAATCATTGGTGCCTTCCATGGGATCTTGGGTAGCTTCTCATCCCTGCCCAGGGCTTATTTTCCTCATCTGTGAAACAATCCTAGATTCTTAAAGCTCTTTCCCTAGAAAAGAACAGCATACTTGGTAGAGTGTCAGCAAAAGAGAGGAAGACCTCCAAAGAGATGGATTGACACAGTAGCTGCAGCAATGGGCTCAAACAGAACAATGATTGTGAAGATAACACAGGACAGGACACTGTTTGATTCTGGTGTGCATAGGGTTGCTATGAGTTGGAATGAACTCGATAGCACCTAATAACAACAGCAATGACAAAAGCTTCTTGGGATTCTGTGGGCCTGTTCCTCCTTTCCCCACACTCTCTTTAGCAAACACCTCTAGACTTCACAACAAAAAAGCTACAAATGTTGGTGCTACTGGCACCCAGCCCCTCTACACCCAACTCCATATGCACACAGTGATTCTTCTCCTCCTTCCCCCTGCCCACCCCTCTAGGAGCCCTGCCCCCCTACTTCCTCCAAGGACTGCCTGCATGTCTAGTCCTTCTGATGGGCAGACAGGGTCGCTGCAGATGCCTTTCACCAGGGGTGAGACACCAGCAGAGAGGAGTAAAGTATGCTGGCACACTCTGAGGCACTGGACTGCCAGCTGCCCTTAGTGGGGTAAGGATAGTCACCATGGACACCTGATGCTCACCTGAGAAATCCTCACCAAGGGCAGGGGCTATAAATGTGAGTGCAGCAAAATCTCCTGGTGGTGGTAGGGACCCGGAGGCTTATGACAAAGCAGATTTCCTGGCTCCAGACACCAGACAGTCTGCTCTAGCAGATCATGTGGTGTTGTGGAGGACGTGAATCCTGCATTTTTCACAAGCATCCCAGGGCTAGACTGATACACGGGTGCCCAGCACAACTTTTTAAGAAACACAGGTATTGAGACTAAGAGGAGTTTCAGAAGTTTCTAGTATTTACAACGGGATTAAAGTGCTGGAGACAGGAACTGCTTCCTGCTGGGTCGTAGAGTCCCACATGTAAAGGCTGTGACCCACCCTGCCCCCATCAGGTACTGAGGAAGGATACAGGAAGATGGGACTCAGGCACCGAGGTCGGGATTAAACACTGACCTGAAGCCTCAGAGCTCTGCGTGTGTCCAGGGATCTGGGAGTTGTGTTACAGGTCTCCGTCAGTGATCCATTCTAAGTGCCCGCAAGCAGACAAATGGCTGCTGCTTCACTAAGTTCCCTGTTTGAAAACAGGAAATGGGGTGTGTGACTGGCTCCTGGTCTTTGTAGCCCATTGGTTGGTGAGAGATGGTGGATGAACTCCATAGAGGGTTGCCTTCAGGACAGAGCAGGACCAGAACAGCCACTGGCATTTTGGCAGCAGCTATCAAAGCCCTTTGACATTTATTGCAATAAGGAGCTCTGGTAGCATAGTGGTTATGAATTGGGCTGCAAACCTCAAGTTCAGAAGTTCAAAACTACCAACAGTTCTGTGGGAGAAAGATGAGGCTTCCTGCTCCCATAATGATTTACCGCCTCGGAAACCTTGTACAGCGTCTCTATGAGTCGAACTGACTTCACGGCACATAACCACCACACAATATAATAGCATATGTCTCATTCCTCACTGTGTTTGCCAGTTCTCTTCATCCTTCTTTGGTATCTCTTTTTGCCTTCTGAGGTTTATCCCTTTTGAAACTGTATGGTTGATTGTTCTAATGAGTGTGTACTTCCCTAGTGTTACTGTTCACCTTATAGTTCGGATGAAAGTTGAGCCATGGAGATAAGTTCAGTTCCAGGCTTGCATGGTATCTAAGGACCAATGGTATCTCAGGGGTTCCACCAGGCTCAGTCAGATCAGTAAGCCTGGTCTTTTTGATGATTCTGAGTTTTGTTACACAATTTTCTCCCACTCTATCTAGGACTTCCTATTGTGATCCCTTTCCGCATGGTCAGCAGTGGTAGCTGGGCACCACTAAGTTCCTCTGGTCTTAGAATTGTGAAGGCTGGAGTTCACATGGTCCATTGATCCTTTGAACTAATTGTTTCCTTGCATCTTTGATTTTTTTCACTCTTCTTTGCTTCAGATGGGGAAAGACCAATAGTTGCACTTGGATGACTGCTCACCAGTTTTAAGAACCCAGTTACTACTCACTAAAGAATGAAGAACATTGTATTTTCTATCTATATTATGC